TCAGCAATGTTGATTTGGAAAAGTTTTTAGCTGTTTCACTCATATGTGTACAAAATAAGGACTAATATCATTGGCCTTACACAGAATGGCCGGCTGCAAGCCCTAGGATGAGAAAAGCTCTGTAAGAAGTAAATATTAATAGACATTGCTCTGGGGCAGCAGACTATGAGTCTAGATGGATGGTTATCTTGTCTTCTCAATTCCATGGGTGACTCATCTGAGAACTGCTTTTACTGATAGCTGTAGCTGTGGCTTCTCACAAGTTCAGTGGAGAAGCAGGTGACAGTTGAAAATTCACTATTTCCAGTATAATATAAAATCCAGTTTGAATTCTCCAGTCTTTGTCTTGACAGATTAGTGGAGGAAGAGTTTACCTCTCCTTGGTATTTAGTTGTTGTTCTTGAGTCTACAATTGTTTTTCCTTTAAGGAATGCAGGCTCCTACACAGTTTATATTTTGTAAGAAGGCATTTCACCTCCTTTACAAATCTTGGCTTTTTTAAACCTCCTGTTACCAAAAAAAGTTTTCCTGAGTAATGCATGAGAGGAAAGAAACCATTTAGCTATTTAATAATTGTAACCTCACTTTATTTACTTGGGGCTGGGTTTTTCTTTTTGGATCTCTAATTTGTTTCTCATTTACTCACCTGCTCTAAGCTTTGAAGTTTGTTGTCAAGATTCACAATCTGCAAGAGAAATGCAAATTACATTGTGCTTGGTAATACCACGGAGGTATGTGCTGGATGCCAGTAGGCTAACAAAATATTCTCTTTTGATAAAAGAGAATAGCTGGTATGTGAAACCAGGTGACAGTCAGGTTCAAATCAGGCCCCATTCACTGGGATTTCAGTGTCGTAGGCTGCTCAGAAAATGACAGCTTAAATACGTCCCAGTTTGGCTCCAAAAAGCAAGACTCAGTCTTGTGAAGATATTTTCAGGTGCATAACATTGAGAATGTGAATATTCAAGCGGGACTGTTTGGGTGCTCATGTGCATGCTCATGGATGTTGGTCTCTTCTCCCAAGTAACAAGCAATAGGACAAGAGGAAACTGCCTCAAGTTGCACCAGGGAAGGTTTACATTGGATATTAGGAAAAATTTCTTCCCCAAAAGGGTTATCAATCACTGGAACAGGCTGCCCAGGGAAGTGGTTGAATCACCATCCCTGGAGGTATTTAAAAGACATGTAGATGTGGTGCTGAGGGACATGGTTTAGTGGTGGAGTTGGCAGTGTTAGGTTAAGGGTTGGACTTGATGATCTTAAACGTCTTTTCCAACCTAAAGGATTCTATGATTCTGTGATGGATGTCTGAGACAGTACACTGAAAGGCAAGAAAAGATTCACCATATCTTAGTGGGTTACAACCACAAACAGCAAGCTGAAACTGAATCATGGAATATGGTAGATACGTATTAGGACAATTTCCCTGAAGGGAGGTCTCTTAAGCTATAAAATAGGAACAGGAACTTGTGGCAACACTGTAACTAAGATACTTCAACCAAGTCAGACGAAGGGTTCAAAAATCTTCTGTTGGAGAAAAATCTTTAGCAGCAGGGAACAGACAAAACTACCGCATACATCTTGTCTTTCCACTGCAAATCCCTGTAGCCCATTTCACTTGTGGAATGGAATGTCTCTGTAACATGTATAAGAACATATATGGTCCATTTCCTGAATTAAGTGGGATTTTACTTCCATAAATATTAGTCCGTAGAGATGTTGACAGTGAACGAAAGAAGCATCCTGGTAACTGGAATTTATGGGAATTACAGGAATATTTCCATTGTCTCCAGAGTTACTGAATAAGTATCTCAACGTTAAACATAGACTCTGAACTGATGTTAAATATGGACTCTGCCCCAGTTCCCTGGAGTCCAGAAATACTAAAATGAATCAGGTAACAGTGTTAACCTGAGGAATGTAAAACTGGGAACGCTGGAGGGGGATACCACAAGGGTATGGCTCACCTTGGAAGTCAGCAGAGCAACCTGCTGGGACACGTTCTGAGAGGCACCATTGGCTTTTTTAAGTTCTTGAATCTCTGCATTATTTTCTCTCACCTAAATTTAAACAACAGAGATGATAATGTGAAACAAGCTTGGCTTTTTCAAAAGCTTGCAAATGTAAACAAGCTTTGCTTTTTCAAAAGCTTAGGAAAGTTTCGTTCTTGCTTAACTTTACTATTATAAAGTCCACTTAAAGATAGAGACCTCTGTTATATACATAATTTAATCTTTTAATTATTTTCTGTAATGGCATGATTACAAGTCTGCAACATCTTACTTTCACATTAGAGTGCTGACACTGATAATATAAAATAACAATCATACAAAACACATGAAACATTTGCGAAGACAAATTCTGAAGGCAATTAAACTATTAATGTGCAAAACTGAAAACCAAAACATATTAAGAAAAAGTAACTACATCACCTGACTAAAAAGTTCTGCAAGGTCTTCTTCATTAATTTTTATTTTCCCCAGCGGTCCAGTTCTAAATTCAATATTTTTGCTGGAGCCAGTGCGGAACACTAAGTTGCCCTGCTCTGAGGACAAACGAGGCCTGTTGTATTACGGAAAAAACAAAGAGATCATTTAGTTACACATTTCTGCCAAAGAGTATGTAAAAAAGAGCTGCAGTAAAGCCATTCCGTTCCCATTACTGGCACTTAGAATCCACCATATGAACAAATGCATTTGCAAGCGATGGTACTTACTGCTCGTCATAAATGGTCCTTTTCCGCCTCTTTTTTTCATAGTGGTTTGATTCACAGCTCAATCCAGTGAGTAACAGTAATGCAACTAAAAGCCTAGGAGCAGCCCAAAGCATTGCTCTCCCCTAGCTGTCCTGTGTTTGAAGTGAAACCTCCAGTGCTGAATCGTACTGTTGGGAGCCCGGGTGCCCTTTGCTCTCAGACAGCTCTCTATTCACAAGGTGCCCGTTCTGCTGTCTTGTCTTGCAAGGGTGAACTTTATCTCAGGTATCTTAATTAAAGATTGACAGCATGCAAATCCTCCAGACATTAAATGCATTTTTCTCTTCTTGCCTTTTGGTTTCAGGAGCTTTGAAAGATCATTAATTGAAATCTGCCTGTATTTTATTATTTTGTCTTTGACCTTTGTACAGCTGAACACCCCTGTGTCTCAGAGCACCTTATAACCTGCAGCTGGCTGCTGCGGGAGCTGCTTGCTCCCCCCACATGCTGCACCACACGGGTGAAGGAAAGATTATTTGCAGCACTAAAGGACTGAGATTGTTACCAAAAAAACCCCAATAAACCCCACAAATAAAACCCATATTGGCTGGCAAGGAACATTTGTACTGAAAGAGAAGTTTCCCGCCAGTAATTCATTGGGCAGATGACACAAACAAGTTAGCAGTACCAAACAACATCCCATGGCTTACAACTACAAAATACAATTTTAACCAAATATGGTTGCTTTGACTCAAGGATGACTCAGTCCCCAGATGCTGGGGAGACAATCACACACCAAGCAGACTGCATTTTGTTTGGCATATGTAGACTGTCTTCATTGCACACACTAGGGTTCCCAAAGTCAGGGCCAGCCATAGACAATACAGAAGACCAAGGAAGAATTCAAAGGAGATGCATAAATACTAAAAAAAAATGCAAATTATTATGTTCTGAGAGCCAGAATTTGAATCTTGAGCCCACCTTCCTCTACCCGTCAGCAGTACCTCACAGCCTTTTCAAAAGAAGCGTCCCTCCCAGATGCTTGTTGGTACTTGTCTGGGGCGCAGGCTGCTGCGGCCGGAAGCCATGACAGAGTCCACATCCCACCTCCCCTTTGCTTTTGCCAGAGTCTCCATATTCCCCTTGCACAAGACCTTGCTCTGGTTTTCTCTCCCTTGCTCAGGGGAGCTTTGTGCATCTTTTCCTTCCTCGTGCTAGGAGCTACCTGAACCTCCAGACCCACCACCATTCTTTATAATTTTCCTTTTTACTTAGTAGACAACTCGTTCAGGTTGCTCACATTTCAAAACTCTGCTAAGAAAAGAGTAGCAGAAGTTGTAGCTCTTGCTCGAAAATAACAGAAGCCACCATTCATTCTTATAAGCCCCAGACCTTCCTGAAGGCCACGGAGCTCCTGCACGTCCTAACCCTGCCCAGACTTCCTTTCTGCTCCAGTTTGCACTTGTCATCTACAACGTCCCACAGATAATGCGGGACGTGCCCTGGAGCTGGGGGATTGAATGAACTCTACAGCTTTCACAGACAGAAATGTTATGAGGTCAAAGCACCCTGGGAAAAGATTGGATGTGGCGACAAAAAATATCAATGTCACCTCAAAAAGAGACAGATGTGGCCTGTGAAAATGAATGTGAAGCCAGGACAGCTAGTGTTTGTGGTGCTGCCACAGATAACAACTTGATCTTTACTGTGAATAACTATAACGTCCAAGATTGTCAATTGCATCTCACCACCCCCACTATTTTCTGTTGTTTGCATAAAACCTAGATTTTTTATTACATTTTATTATCTGTGTTTTTAGAAACTTATCTCAGAATTCAGGACGGCATGAGCCTGCTGACCATTTTTTTTGTGCTCACACAGACCGTGATGCAGGTAACCCAACAGTTACTGCTGCTGCCTACAGATCTGGCAGGGCAGAGGTGAGCCCACAGAGGACAGCCCATCCCATACGCCTACCGGTGCAGTAGCAGCAGCTCAGCTCTCTGGATGCTCACCTGCCCCGCAGCAGCCTGTGGCCTCCGGGAGACAGAGTCTATCGGCTGGGGGTGGCGGCAGCGCAGAAACATCTCCTGTTTTTC